CTACCTAGCCGATAATTAGGAGACCTATCTATCCACGTACATTCATGCACACGCACCTACGCACGTACATACATAGATACACAGGTTGATTTACATACACGATCTAAGAGAGGCACTAGGATACGCAATGACAGCTTCCGTGGCTTGACAAGGGCGAGAGAAACAAAGAAGGAAAAAACGGTTCGGAAACTTTGCCCAAATCAACGGTCCGAATTATCCCACCTTCTCTCGCGGGAAACCCCTGCTAGAGGCATGGAGTCTGGGCACCTGCCCTCTGCCATGTTCTGCAACTCCTGCATGGATACCTGCATATCGTTGCCCGTCTTTCAACGCTCCGCTCGAAGTGCCCACAGACCACATGTTCCTTTCCGAGCAGTACGTCAATACAGCGCCTTGAGCTTTATCTGTATCAGCTTCTCCAGCTGGACGAAAGCTCGCTTTTGCTTCAGATTTTCCTGTGCGTTCAATCACGTCCAAGCAGACGACCAGTCAGGCCTAGATCGCAGGTGTTGCTGCTTGAGCATGAAGACTGAGCACTTACCCTCCACCCACACCAAATAGACCTCGTGAGACTCTTTCACGACCTTCTGATCTTTGCGAAGATCCTGCACGGTAGGCTTTTTGACGACTAAGGAGTCTGGCATAAGGACATCACCCCGCTGGGATCCTGCCATAAGGACCTACCCGAAGAAGCACCGAGGGGCATGGCTCAGGGCATTACAAGCTGGACGAGCCTTGCATTGCTCGTCAAGCCTGCTGATCTCTGCCGCATACTGGTCAGACAGAGTCGCATACTCCTCGTGTCAGGATTTGCGCTGCCCGCAGGGGAGCTGGGAGACAGGAGACACGGCCATCAGGAATGCCGTTCCGATTGACACAAAACATCTGCGCGATGTACGCAGTCAACAGGCAAGCCGTGAATAGAGCAAAAAGAGAAGCGAATGCAGCTGCAAGGCAGGACGCATGCCTGCGAGTGGCGCGCCCCTTCCTCTCTTCGAAGGCATCGTGCCTCCCACTGTGCTCTTTGAAGCTTGCCTTGCGATGGACAGGATCTGGATGTGTGAAGCAGTCTCGGAAGGCCCTAACCATGAGTGGCCGGAGATTGATCCTGAGACCTCCTTGAAGCCAGGGTGCTTTCAGCAGTGAGCAGCTGCATGTTCAGCTCGTGGTAGTTCTGCACCGGCACTAGACTGAACCAGATCTTGGGAACGGGGGGGATGCAGGAACCCGCCTGCTCGGCTTCCTGCACCTCGTTCTCGAGCTGCCGGACCTCGGGGCAAACGCGAGAGAAGAGCCGACCGCAGACGACGGCACGCGGAGTCCCGGTTTTGCCAGGCGTTCGAGCTTCCAGCCTCTGTCCGAGCGTCTGCCCGTCCAAAGCGGGTCAGGGAATCGCACAGCGGAAATGTCGGCAGTATTTACCGAGTCTGTGCTTCAAAAATGATGATCTCCATCTGAGAGGACATCCACACAGTTCCTGAGGCAATGTCTTCCTTTGAAAGTTGGGCATGGTCCTCCCACTGAGAGTCTATGTCTATGTCTATGTCGTTCTCCGGCTGAAACATACCTGGAGCTAGCTTGACCGCGAAACAAAAGCAACTCAGACCCAGGACGGGCATTTTCCTCGGCTGATCGAAGAGCGTGCCTGGACTCAACAAAAAAACCACCAAAAACACAGATCATGTCATAGATCATTTGCCAGGCACCCGTCGGCCGGAGATGCTCTAGGCCGACGTGTTGACGGCAAACCTCGGCACTGAAGCAGCGGCAAGCGATACCTTGCACATCGCATGAAGCTTTCGAGGGCAAGAGGCTGTTTATGGATACTCATCATACCTTCGTCAGAGTCATCCAAGGAGAAGTCGAAGTCGTGACCGTGTTGAGCGAGTTGCGTCATCCACATGCTCAGCCTGAGGAAAGCAGGTATGACTCGCAGGGGGGCCTCAAGTTGCCTCAGACCCTGCTTGGATCTGCAAGTCTAAGTCCTGCAGTGCGCCGATGCTACATGGGGCGCGCCCCCCCTTTGCAAAACAGCTACTCGATGTCCAAGCACGCGGAACGTAGAATGCTGAACAACGTTGGACGAAAGCCTCACGAAGCCAACAAGACTGACCGAATGATGCTGGCCGATAAGATCAAGCAGCATCTGGAGAGACCGCAAAGGCAACTGCTTCCCGTGCCCGGGACGAAGAAAATCTTGCATCCGCTATCCAAAAACAACTCACTTTCTGCTTATGATTCCACCGCAGTCTTACAAAACTGGAGGACTTGCGCCACTGGAGGGGCGGGGGCGTCTCCGGAACCGCTGAAGATCGTGTGCAAGCAAAGCGCATGATGAGTTGGGTCTGCAGCTGCTCAACGCTGGGGTCCTCATCGATTGGGTCACGACGTGCCAAAATTTGTGGCCTCTGCGCTACCCTGCGGCCAAGTCACGTCCATTAACTTGATGGTCTTGCAGCAAGGAAGTCTTCCGGACGCGTCCATCACGGGCTGGCAGCTTCGGAGATGGCTGCAAGTGCTTTACGGCTTCACGCTAGAGGGGGGTCAGAAAGCAGTGGCCTTCGGGAATCATCGTCGCACAATAAAGCTAATAAGTTGGCACTACGGTACTGTACAGGGAGATGCAGGAGGCCAGGCGACCCTGTGGAAAGTAGTGTTTACTCAGTTACTCGAAATGACGCCCATTGGGCGAAGGTACGTTGATGCTGGTTCGGTGGCCTAGCAAGAAAATTTCCATTTAAGTTCTCAGGCTTCTGTTCGCAGGTTTCTAGGCAAAGCTGACCGGAGAATGCACCGCGTGTTGCTGCTGCCTCGTACTGGGAGGACCACATGACTTCCGTGATGGCGGTGCGCTCCACTGTCGAGTCTCCGATTGAGAGTACGTTCATCCACGCTGCCTCCCTGCCATACAATCTCCGGAGCACCTCGCAAAATCCGCACCCTGGCGTCCCTCACTCCAGCACAAAGGGATGCAAAGGCCGAGAGCACACCTTCGTCATGGCTGCCTGCTTCGCCAGGGTCCACAAGCATACGCCATCTTCGCTTCCGCCCTGGCGTCGTGGGTGAAGCTGGATGACCCCATCGGGTCGATCATGTCTTCAACTTTCTCACAGGCTTGTGGCAAACCTACTTACACGAGAAGTACTCACATGTAAATCGTCGTGCTACTCACACTACCTATGCCGGTGCTCCTGGATCAAATACTTTTTCAAGCACTCCCGGGCGTAAATGACTGGGATTTGAAGTTCGTCCAGTAAGGCTGGCAAGTCCTTGGCGAAGGTTCAGGCAGTTGGGCCAGGAAATAAGCGGTAAGCAGGACTCGACCGCAACACCTCCTGCTAATCCATCAGCCAAGCCAAGTTGCCAGATTTGGGAGGTACTTTGCGGCAGAATTTAGCCTGACACCAGTGAAGCACGCAGGAAAGCAACAAAAAAAGTATCGCAGCTCTTGACGTTCTGCATTCGATCTTCGCTTCACATGATTAGCTGCCAAGGGGCACCCACGGGCGCTGAGCCAGAGTAACGATCCCTACACGACCATTGACTCGCGCTTCGCGCAGGATTCGCTCGACCTCGGGTGTCGGGTAGCATCTTCGTGACAGTCTCAACGCAAATGGTCAAAGCATGCAAAGGCCAACTTCGGAAAACTACAAGCGCCGGTGCAAGAAAACGTGAAACAACTGACATCCACGTACGGCACATCACGTCGACTGCTTCCGACACAACAGCAGAGCTCAGCTTGTGCCTGTAATCGCTGTGCCAGAGAGCATTTGCAAAGCGGACGGAAACCGGCGACAAAACAACATGCCGAACGACCTGAAACTTAAACGGCAAACAGATTTCAGGACTGTCCATCCCCTCACATACCGAGCTTCGTTCACGCTTATCGAGGCTGGGATGGGGCCAGCAACGTTATTGCATGTGTCTTCCGAAGTCCACCAACTACACGTGCGAGAAACAAGAAAACATGTGCCCTGCACACTGATCTTGATTGCTCGCCACGCACAGGACCAAATAACGTCGTCTTCGGAATTTAGGAGAGTTACATGCTTCGAAAACATCCTGATGTCTGACCCAACCCATCGAGTCAGACCCATGGGCCAAGCATCAGAGGTCTGGGACTACGTTCTGGGCAACCTTCACCCTAAGGCCATGTGTGAGACGCACATCCGAACGAGGCAGGGCAAAGAACCAGTTGTGTGGTTCAGGTACGCATCTCCATTCCCATGAAACGCCTGAAAACATTCCGGATCAAACGCTGCATGCTTAACATCGCCGCGAGTCATTCTAAACGGGCTGTTACATACGGTTTCGAACACATTCTAGATGCGACTGCTAGGGTTCTGCAATTGCTTCTTACATGCGAGCACAAGAAATCACCTCCACTAGCGAGTCATCCTAAAAGTTGCGAGCATATGTCATCTGCACGCTCGGAACACACCGCGAAGGATGGTTTCAGAAGACCCTGGACCTCTCCAGAAAATCAGCAAAGGTGCCGCTTGCCCTTGGCTCTGGAGGCACTCAAGGAATGGGCTGGTCGCAGGTAGCTGCTCGCACTGCGGATCTTCCAGGCAGGGGTTGACCACCTCTGTGACAAACCTCGACTTACGGCGAAGGGAGAAGGGACCAGACCACCAGGAACACACACAATTCCAAAAAATGTCTGGCATGCACTGCAGCAGCTGCAGGCTCAAAACACAGAGCCCTGTGTTAGATTGATGCGGAACTCGAGTCAAGTCTCAGTAACATGTTGGTCCTCATTAGTGCAAGGCTGCCCTACATCTGACAAAAGTCATGCGGGTCTTCAGGAAGGACTAAGGGATTCCCGTGACCCACGCTGCGCCGGGCAGCCATGTAGGAAACAGCGTATCATCCCAGTCAAAGATAATGACCGTCTCCTGCAACAACCGCTGAGACTGGCTGTGAACGGGGCAGATATCGTGGAGGCGTTCTTACAGAACATCAAACGAACTGCTTGGAAACGACACATAGCTGGAACGCATGCCAGACAAGAACGCAGTGAAAAATCCAAACGAATAGTGTTCTCAGAAGACAACAATTCGGCTGGTGCCGTACCATACCAGGCTCAACGCTTCCGCAGCAGGAAGTCTGCGAAGCTCCAGCCAGAAGAATTCCGTCGAATCTACCCCACGATGCTACGCTCACACCGTTTGTTCTTGACGTGTGTGGGCGAGGAGCATCCAAAACAGAGTGCCGCGGAGTTGCTGCAGAACCCACAGCCAACAGGCTCTGTGCATGTGCAGCATGCGTGCAACACGCTCTTAGTACAAAGATAAGGCCTAGCGGCACGACCCAAAGACCCTCTAAGTAAGTGCAATGCTTCCGTGTGCGTCCTCTGCACGAAAACCGCCGGGCGCTGCTGCAGCTTTGGCGGCCGCTGCCGCTGCGGCTTCACCTCGGAGAGCCCTGAAGCATGGTAGAGAGAGACATATCCAAATATAGTTGATATAGCCATGGGAGTGTGTTTGCACGTGTCACGCATGCGTTAAGATGCCTGCTATTAATGACGAGGGCACAGACTCGGCTAGCCAGAATGACAGCCTTCATAGCCGCTATCCTGATGATCAAACCGACGACCATGACCCCTGAAGAAAATGAAACCTGTGACCGGCAACAGCCCAAATGATGACGACCACCATATGATGATGCTGATGAACGGCACAATGATCCTTACAGGTAAATGCTTTGATATGACTGCGACTGCGACGACGATCTCGACGACCACACTAGTGACTAGCAGGAACTAGCACTGTGATTCTACAAGCATTGCTAGCGCTGACCTCACCATCCACGTCGGTTCCACGCCCAAGCTCAAGAGCTGAAGAGTCTAAAATGGCTCAAGCTTGGTACAAGCCACGCTCAGCCACAAAGTCCTCAGATCGAAAGCACACGGAGTTGGCCGCATCCGTGGATGCCAACTGTCGGGATCTGAAACACTTCTAAAGATGCCGAAAAGCGAAGCTGTTGTGGTGGAGCCGCTCTGCCAGATCCTGGAGAACCTTTTGCCGCTGCCGTCGGCTTTTGCTCGGTCTTCGACCATGGCGATATGGAGAACCGAAGCCTGTGCCAGAGCGCTCAAGTTGGATATAGTCTGTGGCGAAAGCTTCAGGATCTGAAGGAGCCTGGGCGGAAGCCATCGTCGTATTGCGGAAAGATCTCCATCAGCTTCTGCAACAGCAATCGAAGGCATGACAGACTTAGGGAAATGGCAGAGGCTTCCGAGTCTCAAGTTGGACTGTGCTAGCTTAGGGCCCGGGAGACGGTTCAACCCGTCCTTGGCTGTCAAGCTGGGCAGGGTGATTGCTCGGTTGGCGACCTCACCTCAGGGTCGCCAGCAACTCTTGCCGGCCAGTCTGTGCGATCTTGCGATTGCCCGTAGATCGCCGTGCAGCAGCGCTGCACGAGGAATCTTTATCCGTTCTGGCATGTCATTTCTCGCAACACACATTCTCGGAAAGGCCGGGTCACCCGTCACAATGAATTCACTATCTGAGTGTTCCTCTGGATCTGTGTCGCCATCCTCTTCTCTCCTCCAGTCGGCCTCAGTTGTGGCCACTGAGTGTTCCGTATTCAGAGCCACACTGAAATCACCAACACGACGGTGCGGTTCCCCCAACAAGGGCCCTCGCACCCAAACAACGCAGACTAGCGACTGGGGTTGTCAAGGATCGGTTCGGCATCGAGCTGTCATCATGGTTGCTGTCATAGTTGCTGGCCTGCCGAAACGACACCCAAGAAAGCTCGGGCCTTCGTCCAGAACTCAGAACGGCCTCCACAAGAGTGGAGCTGGCACGCCTGGCGAAGAGAAAGAGAAGCAAGTGCATGAAAAACCACATGGGGGTGTCTGCTCTGCGTCGGCCGAGGCCGCTGTGCCTGTACCCAGCGGATGCCATGGCCGATGCGTGGGCATCAGGGCCGCAGGCACTGAAAGGCTTCGGGGGGCTCCTCCCTTGGCGGCTCCAAGGGCCACAAAGTCCGAAAGCTACGTCCTTCCGCTTCGTAGGTGCATTTTCTCCCCTTCTGGCTGTTGCTGAACCGGACAGGGGCGGTTGCAAAGCTCATCTCCCACTTTAAAGCGGCTTTTACGCCTAGGGCGCTTTGCATGGCTGTGCATCGCAGTCGCTTGAGATTAGTGAATGCTCGGCGGAGGTGTCGGCCAGCGCGCACATGGAAGACTGTGGATTCAAAGCAAACGGGACGCACCCTGGCTGACGCTGCGGCATCACTTGCGACTTTGGAAAGGTCAGCATCGACAGCTGATTTCGCCTCAGTGACTCGCAGCAAGGGTGTTCTCGTAAACATGAACGGAAGCAGGGACGACTCACGAGAACTGCCTGGTCGTACTGGCCCTTCTTCTCCAAATACTTGACCTACGGCACGAGATGCTTGGTGGTTCACGAAGTGCGCAACTCAAGATGAAGGTGCCTCCACTTGCTGGAAGCTCTGCCGGATCGACCGGAGTGCCTCAACTTCATATCTGCATGATGCCCACAGGATAAGCCAACAAAAGCCCGCACAAGCTCCGAATCGACTCCCACTTGAGGAAACACATAGAGTGCAAACGGGAAGCCTTGATTTGTGGGGCCAGCTTGTTCTTCTTTTCCTTGAGCTGAGCATTGATTTTTTGGACCTCGGCGCCAGAAGCAAGAGAAGCCCCAGTCAATGTCTCAGCTCGGCCCCAAGAAAGCTTGCAGTCACAGCAGCGCAAGTACCCACAAACACACAACCTGCTTTCCCAGCATATCGCACAGAGAACGATCCTGAGCCGGAGAAGAACACCTATGCACAAGACGTCGCAAGGGATGGACAATGGCCGAGATCTCATCAAGAGTCTTGCCCTTCGCCCGGTCTACCTTCGGGGTGCTGCCGCTTGCGCAGTTCAGAAAGCCAGCTCTGACGCAGTCCTACTAGCCCAGCCTGAGACTTCTCAACGGATGCCTTCTCGAGCATCTGCTCCGTCTCAACTAGCCTGGCTTCGGAACTCACGCGGTGTGATCTGAACAAAGGGCTAGCAGAAACGGCTTTCCCGCCGACCTTGAAAAATCGTTCCCTCTACTCTGCAGTCAACACAGCGTGCCCCTTCGTAAGACGAAACGTCCGCATCGACTTGGACGTGCTGAGTCCTCGAGAAGGTCCCAATGTACATGGACACTGAGGGGATCGAAGACGAGAAACTGTGCAAAGTGTATCAATTGGCCCGCTTGGAAGTGTGCGCTACCCAACCCTCATGCCACGCGACTACGATACGAATGACATCCGCGGTTGGCGAAACGATGCTCGACAAGTCCTCCGAGCTTGGAGTTCGGAAAGGAGATCAGTCAGAAATTTCATCCACTACTCATGTCGCCTAACTTTGTTAAAAAGGGTGATCTCGCACACTACCCCAGCTTCCCTACTTCGAGTCGATGTGATTTGAGACCCAGTTGTTTGCAACCGTGAAAACTACAAGACACTGATTGCAGAGAAAACAAGCCGATGCCAGGCCCGGCAGGAGTTGGGTCTTTCGACTGCAAGATCTGCTCGGTCCTCTGAAGTACCTTGCAGCGCCGCCAACTTTTTGGGCCCTTCTTCACTGCTGCAATCACCGCCCCGCAAGCCTTCAGCTAGCGAAAAAAAAGCCCTTCCACAGTTTCCGATATTATGCGAAGGATGTCATTTTCCCTTGACCGGTGCGCACCGCCACTTCGTGTCTAAGCTCGCTGAGCTCAGCCTGTCAAAGGGCGGCAAAGGCATCGAATCCACAAACATCCACAAACTCCAAACATACAGAGGCAAGTTCGACCTTCTTGAGCTTGAACTTGGCAGACTTGTCCCTGAGTGATGCCGCGTAGGTCTTGAAGTCTTCCCGCTTCATGAACTTATGGCCTGAGTTGCAGGGAAGGATTCTCTGGAGCATTCTGGTGCCTTTGATTCACAGACTCCTGCAGACACCTCTGCGCCACAACAACATCAACCAGCTGCTTTGTAGCATGAGGCGCCTTTCATCTGCTCATATTCTCGTTCCTGAGCAGGACATGACATGCAGAAGCGGTGCAAGACCAGGTACTGAGAGGGTGCAATTCGGACGTCATGTCGAAGTGGCCTATGCTACAGTATGCTGCAAGCGAAACCTCATGCCGGCCACGAAAGCTACTGGGACTAAGGCTTTGTGCTTCTCTTTTTCGGCATGCACTAGTAGGAGGAGACCGCGTGCTTGGTAGCATCGCTGGTGCTAGTTAAGGAGGGGTTTTGGTGGGGGCCTCTTGGAGGGAGGGGCGGGACCTCCCTGTCATGACTCAGTCCCTGCCGAACGCTTCGGGTGCGGGGGCTGCGGGGACCTGCTGCCTGAACGAGGCCTCAAAGAGGTTGTGCCGGGACCCCAGAGTAACATTTATCAGACCTCAATGCCCGAATGTCTTGTCAGCCGGAGAGTTCTTTCTTACCAACAACTCCCACAAGCTCCTGAAGAGCTGGCTAGCTTTCGTGAGAAGCCGTGCTTAGCCTTGCAGATGAACCTCCACGTACCCTAGCACGGTGCCTTCGTCGACAAGTCTTTGCTCAGACTGTCTCTCTCGTCCTCTAACATCTTCTTGTCCTGTAGCACGACAGCGCAATCGCGCCGATACTTACTTTCGGCTCTGATTCTCCACGAAAACACGGCCTTCAGAACAGCCTCCTTCTTTTTGGCCACGAGGTTTGCCTCAGGAAGGTCCGTCAAGCGGCAGCCCCAGACCACAGCCGAGGACCAGCCTGCTGCTTGTACACCGCTAGTCGCGAGTCCTCGTACTGTGGTCGCAGACGCAAGTCAGTTGCTCACACCGGTCGACAGCGCGCAGCAAGGCTATGGCTATGGACAATCTGGTTACACTACAGTTTCCGTACAAACATTGACAAGCCCCATTTCGGAACGCACAAGTCTGCGAGTTGCTTGAAACGCTGCAGCTCTGAACTCCAGACCAGGACAAAAGCTGATTACTCGAAGTGGGAAAGAAAAGACGCTGAGGCGATACCATGCAAGTGTCGATGCTCGGCTGCAAAATGACGTCAACCGCTCAAACAACACTTGTCCTTGGATTCGACTGGACCCTACAAAAATGCCTTGCCACAACTTTGCATCTTCCTGACCTTTGCTGACCATGAGGGACGAAGACTTCCGGTTGGAACTTTCACGAATCGGAGCGGACTCCATGTCTTCAAGTAGGTTGTCAATTTCCTGGTGGAGCTCTTCCAAGCACATCTTTCTACAGCGGCAACCGGATTCCCTGCTTCGGCAATTCGCAAGCTCCTGCCATCTTAGCCTGCGTGAGCTGATTGATTCTCAAGCTCCCAGGATGGACTTGCTGTGAAAAGGACATAAGTTGTTGGCCTGCACCTTCAGACACGTTGGTGATCGAGACATCATCGTTTCGTGGAGAGAACTTCGCCCCCTCCGTGCTACTTCTGCAGAGGATCGGAGTTGCCATGAGATGTCGCCGACACTCAGCTACAAACCCAAACATAAAAGGCAAAGATTGAACTCTCTCCTGGTTCTGCTCATTCACCTTCTCTTCGAGGGAGTGGATCTCATTCTGCATGGCTTGGATCTCGCCCTGACATGTCGCTATGACGGTCAGGCACCCTCCTTCAGTGACGTTGCGGAGTTGTCGCCTCGAGGCTGTCGATGTCCATCTTGGTCACCTTCCGTGCAAAGACAAGCATTGCATTCCCCTCGTGGCTTGCCCTGAATCATGCGGGCCAGAGTGAAGCCATCTGATGAAGCTATTCTAGTTGCAGCTGCTGCTCTATTCTGTGCAGGCTTACCAGAAGCAGTGCTAGCCGTAGGAGCACAACTGCGAGAATACATCAAGTCGCACAAAATACAGAAAACGCGTATGCAGAGTTTAAAGTGTTTTTACGGACCAGAAACTTTGCTCCCCCAGCTGTTCCAACAGCACACCAGTCTCTGCAGCTAAGCCAGCGGTGCAGAAACATAGACGTTCAGCTAGCTTCCGGGTAAAGAGTGTTGTATGCACAAATCACCGTTTAGACAAGTACAAGTGCTACACTTGATCACAACACTCGCCACTCACACTAGCATTCGCAAGGCAACACTTCTGCAGCCCACATTACACCCTCGAAAAAACAAAGCCGTCTGCTCAGAGGTTCGTATCTGTACTATCTGCAACCCCGAAGAACCACGGGAACAGTCATTGTGCCAAAAATCTTACACAGGCAACTGCGCACACGTGCGAAACGCTCTTCGGTTGCCCAAGCGTGGCACCGGAGGCTCGCTGAGGGCCGAATCCAATTCCCGGAGACGGTCCATCTTCTCCTCGGACTCCTTCCCTGACGAAAGAAAAGATGAATCAGGCTCGGTGTTACTTCGGGCCTTCCGTTTCCAGCCCTGCCTTTGAGGGTGCACTAACATAATGCCAAGCTATGGAGACGAAGCGTCGTTTGCGGTCGTCTGGTTTCAGGCTGCAGACGTTGTCTATGCGCGAGCGTTGAACACATTCTCATGATCCGCAACCGATCGGCAAAAGTCCATGCTTCCATGATCCAATACCGGCACTCCACGCATGTACTTGCGTTCCTGGTTTGACAGTTGATTGCAAGCACGGAACAGTAGCTCCTTGGAGGTGTCGTTTCCTAACTGTCTTGCAGAAGGTAACCTGCGTGTTCTGGGCATCTGGCTGACTCGTGCCAGGGCCTCCCTGCTTTTGACTACCTCACGACAGACTTGCACAGGCAACTCTGAAGCGCCAATGCAAACCTTCGAAACATTTGCATTCGAACTCGTGGCCCGGCCTCGGCGCTGAGCATCTTCAGCATGACCTCTGCGCTGCCTTCGCCCTCGTGGAGCGCAGCCTCGTCACACTGCTTGCCAAAGCATGGCCGAGCCGACTGACCGAGATTGCGAGCAGCGAGCCTCTCGCATCTCACGCAAGCGAGCAGAGCGCTCGATGTAAAGTTGCTCCTTGACAACGACAACTTTCTGCACACGTTAGAAGAGGGCCCGGCCCCTGCAAGCAACGTAGCCCAGAGCTGTGGATGTCCGATTTCAAGCTCCCCCCCCAAAGCTCGCCCAGGCTCCGTCTGCTCGAGCCTGAGCGACAGCACGGCAGTGGCACACTCTCCAGGGTGCATCGTGCGGTGTCGCCCCTTCTGAAAGCTTCGTGTTGAGACCCTGACCTAAATAAACCACCAACTCATTTGCTCCTAGCCCTGTGTTGGATGATGGATGTGGCTGTTCTAAACGGCCCTCTCAGGCACTCTGAGGGGCGTGCTGGTACTTCTGCTCGGCCAGCTTTTCCGCTAGTCGGGCTTCCTCCTCCTGCTCCTTTCGGAGCATGGAAGTCACCTGAAAGCAAGCGGAAGGTCACAACTGCTTCCGGATGGCAATTGAAGGCAAAGCACGCGTCGAGTTCGATCAGCATCTACGCAATACTGCAGCCTACTGCAGCCAGCCTCCAGCAGCGTGGCGAAGCCCTCATCTCGTTCGGTCTTCGCCTTCGGCTGGGACACAGAGTCCAGGGCCCCGAAGATTCAACACCACGACCACGACGACCGCCACTGAACCCTGCTTTGTTTGAACGTCCCCTTCCTTTTGCAGCTCTTGCAGCTGCCCTCTCCCGACCTTGAGATGCTGGATCTTCTGCGCAAGCTGCTCACGCTCTGCATCGAGCTGCTGCACCTTTCGGAATGTGACGTCAAAGCGGTGGGTGGAGCTTCTCTACACCTCCGCGCTGCACCGTGCCTCTCGCTGCAAGTCCACAGGATTCATGCGACCTTGTCGCTCCTGTCAGGCTCCAAGTAGAGCACGGTTGCAGGTCTCGCTTCATGTCTGTTGTAAGGCCCCCAGTCCTGCTCCACATGCGAGTGTGTTGCCTTGAACTGGGACTGCAGCTCCTTCAGAGCAGTGTGACTCGAGCGGCGAGCGGCTCCTTTCATATCCACGGATCTTCGAGTCCCACCTTGTAGTTCTGGTACGCGGAGAAGACCTGCTCTTCTCGCAGGAACTCCTCCGGAACCTGCCACACCAAAGTTTGAGTGCTGATTCCTTTCTTGAAGCCTGAAGCTTGTAGCAGCTGGTCTCAACTTGGACTGTGACTGACTGACGATTTCAAGCATTCTGTTAGCGCAAGTGTATGCTCCGGCCTCCAGATTCATGCAGAACTTCGCCAAGTAGGCACGCTTTTCTTAGACGGAGTGTCAGCTTGAATCGGACTCCGGAGTTTTTCATGTGCCACCCCGTGTCCACATCAACAGTCTAAGGATGTACTCCCTATTTGCAGGGCATTGCCCCTACCAGGCCCCACCCTTTCACTGCTGCCAGGACTCTCAAGGCATCAAGGTTGTTGAGAAGCCAGTAAAGGATGGGATGTACTGTGTGTTTGTCACCTTCGCATTTGACTAGGCAACTGATGTCGGAGCGAAGTGGGCCAGCACATGCGTCCGGCCTAAGCTCAGGCCCTGCTGAAACTCGATATCAAAGGAGCACCTGCAGCGCAGAAGCTTCGTTGCTTCAGGTTCCTCCAGGATACCAGCCCTTTTCCCTGACGGCTGTTCCGGGGCTCCGCGCTGGTATCCAAGGATGTGCAAGAATTCGGAGATGCGCTGATACATCACATCCGGCTTCTCCTCCCACGGCCAAGAGCCAGGTCGAGAGCGCAAACTTCCTCCTCACTCGCTAGGGCTCTTCTCATTGCACGGCTTCGGCTCCTCCCGCAAATCAATATCATGCTTCTCATCCAGGAACACCAGCACCTTCTTCAGGATCTCCATGAGCTCGAACGGGTCCTGACGGAAATTTGCAATCCGCATGTCAGCACAAAGTTGTGAGACAGCCGGACACGACGGTATCGGCGTAACTTGATAGACCATGCATGCACGTGCGCTACAGAGGGTACTTTTCCGGTCCAAAGTCCAAAGTCCCTCAGCCAGAAACATTGCCGAAGCGAGGGGTGCGCCGTTTCCTATCTGTGATCTTGTCTGAGCTTGAAGTCATGAAGAAGAGTCTTATTGAGCGTGGCGTGACACCTGCAGTTGCGGTGACTTAGTTAGCGAAAGTGGGCCAAGCCAAGCGCCCCACCTGATGCGCTTGAAAAGTGTTGGGGCCAAAGTTGGAAGTACAAGATGCCCTGCTGATTCACTTCTTGCCTCTTGGCGCTCCGCTGGTAATGACCATCGCACTAAGCGGATACACGAACTCGACGGGATGTCGAAAGTGCAAGCGCAACCAACAGCAAGCTTCCGAACACTTCCCCTGCCTTCTCGTCGAAGCCCACAAGGGACAAGTCACAGTTGAATGGAGCGGCATTGAGCCTGTCGGGCAATGTGCAGGTCGGCTGGACGGGCATGACAGGCGCAGCTTCCAACATCCGCCCATCCGCTTCAATTGCAGTGCCTGTCAACGATCTCTTTCAGCTGCGCCGCCATGGGACGGCCTGTCACTTCTTGGGATAGAGTACACGCTTCAACCTGCCGGGTCGAGTAGCGGGACGAATCACCGACAGCATGGCACTTAAGATCCTGAATCCCCAACCTTCGCAGCACGATCAGGAAGCACTTCGCTTCAGGCTCACATTGGCAGCCCAACAGCTGTCAGCCAAATCGCAGACGGGGCCATGCCGCAACTGCTAGGAAAGTGAGATCATCTAGGCTCTCGATGGCTCCCAACTACCGATAGCTCTATGTGTCTGGCTCATGTTCACAGAAGCCGGGAGGGAGCAGTCGCAATTCAAGGTTTGCCTGGTCAGCTTCTGTCACTCGAACACAAGTTGCATGGGGAAGGCGTCCAGATCTCCGCTTTTAGCGAAGACATGGCTTGACAGCCCAAGGCCTTCAACCTTGCGCGAAGTCGAAGCCGTAGGGCCGTGAGGTATCTGATTCTCAGCTCACGGCCAGGGGGCTGCGATTAGCCGCTGGATGCTACAAAGGCTGCCCTGTGGTTCTCGTCCATCAGCCAGTCCATGAACCTGGGGAGCGGCCACTGGGAGGCCCTGGCTGCAGTGCAGGCTCTGGGGCGAGGGCTCATCCACATCGATCTTGTAGTCGCGGTTCTTGTCCTTAGTCATGGTGGGCAGCTGCAGCTGCACCCCGAGGCTCTTCGCCAAGCTCGACGGACTGCAAGACCGTGCGTATACCGAGAGTCTGTGGACTTGATCATCGCATCAATCCTTATGTGGCATAGGGCTTTGGATCGCATTGGGGTTGGGCAGTGAAGGCTTCTGTCAAAGGCAACGATCTCACCATCTTCATTCCAGGCTCTCGGAGTCCTTGATGCCCACCTTCTTCCTCAGTCGCGTTCTAGGTCCACAGAATGAAGCGCTGGCTGTGCCTCTGCCCTGAACCATCCTGGACCGTAGACTTGGTCAAGCGGCAGGATCTCAACGAACCGCCCCAGGGACATAGCGTCGTCCATGTCTTTGGCGCTGCGGAACCTGCAGACACCGCAACCCCGAGTGCATGCACACAGAGTAACCCGACTAGGTGTCGAAGCTGGCATCTTCCTCACATTTCCGTCTCAATTATGCCACTGTGATAGCTGCGGCTTGTCTCGCTTAAGTCGACTTCGCACAGTGACTCCAAGCAGACCGCAATGCAGCTGCAGTGGCATCTCTCGCAGCTTGGACGAATCGCCTTGTCATCTCACAGGCCGCTCTTCACCCTTGCCTTTGACCAGGTCTCACAGGAGAACACTGAGGCCGCAACCGTGCCTGGGCTCACGATCCGGATCCTCAGTGTATGCGCGTCCGTGCGCTGTTCGGGCACGGGAACATACCGAAATGACTGCAACGCTAGACGTCTGTGTTACCGCCCGACTCTTGTCGAAAGGAACTCTTGTGGCAAACACAGTGGCACCCAACAATGAGGCGAGGCGGCCCCATCCTCAGTTTCTTGCGAGGCACCTTCAAGCCCATTCTGATGCAGTAGTCGGAGAACTCCTTGAACAAGATGCAGCCTCCGAGAGATCACATGACCAAAGCGCAGCCACAACTCCCCCGTGACGCCACAGTGCAGGGTACGTGAAACCTTCCGCAAACTCTTTGTCCCTCACGCCATGGCCAACCCGACACCAGCTTTGCCAAAGATGTGTGAAGCGCCCGGGCCTCCTTGATCTTCATCAATCCTCGTTGACCAGAAGAGAAGCGCTTGAATTGCCGCATGCCGTGGCAACTCGTTCTTCTTAGAAATCTGCACTTGCAGCCCGCGCAGCTCGTTGAAGAGAGAGTAACCAGGCATAGGGGTGTCACCACACTTGTCCTCCAACCTTTGCTGCTCTGGCAGAAGTTCAGGGCTCCAACGGCTGCAGATGCATCCGAGTTTTAGGTGCACGCTGCTCGAAGATGCAGGCAAGTCACATTTCTGGGGTGACCTTTTCAAGGGACGAGTGATCCAAGACAGGGCATGGACTGTCCCCAGGCCCTAGGCCCTAGTCAGTTGCTCGGATGGCACCTTGATGCCAACTTTCTCGGCCTTGCCAGATGTCACGAAGTTGGCGAATTCCTGCCAGCCCCAGCCCATTAGCCTGGGCAAGTCATGCCCCAGCAATCCCCAGGACGTCCTGACAGTCGATGCGGCGGTCTTCGTCAGCATCGGCCATGTCTTGGAATATCAGGTACCTCGTTTACCAGTCGTCGTTGTAGTCGTCGCAGTCGCGGGAGTGGGAGTAGTGAGAGTAGAAGTAGGGGAGTAGGCGGAGGTGGTGGACGACGCGGATGCAGATGACTGCTTCGGACCTCATGTAGAACATCAGCCTTTTGCGATCCAAGCTGCATCTCAAAGAACTCGTGGAGGTATTGCAACCTCGCAGGAATTCAAAGGCTGAAAGAGACGCCGCTGCTACACTTGAGCAAAGGGGAGTCTTCACCTCGATGCACGAAGCGAAAAAGCCGGGCCAGGCCACGCAAGTGGTGCAAACATTCGCAGACCACCAGCTTAAGCGTCTCTTCTCGTGTTTAAGGGCAAGAACAGGAACCACACACCATGGGACACAGCCATTACTGCGCCCGCTGACAGTTGGCAGACTTCCTGTGGGGCTTAGCAGAATCGAGCTGGAACAAACCAAGACACCCGACGAAGATCACACTGCCGCCAAACGTGTTCACGTTACAGAGCACGCAATGCTCCCAGGGCACAGCAGGCGGAACTGCTCACCCGGTTTGACGTAGTGCTTCTCGTGCTCCCGATACCTGCAGCAAGCTGCAGCCATAGCAGGTGCGCAAAAAACCTGACACGTACTCTGAGGACGCTGCGCTGCGGCATCATGCCGGGCCGGGGGACCTCTGAAGTGTGAGCATGTGTAAGTCGGCAGCTCAACAGCAGTCACAAGCACGTGCCGACAGGAGGCGTCCCGTCGCTGCCAGAAAAGCTCGGATGATTGCGGGCTTCGCCTGCAGCTAAAATGAACTTCGTGCATGCAGTGCCTTCATAATGCAACTGGCTGAGCTGCGAACGTTGAACAGCGCTGTGCAGCCCATGACCTCCGGGAGGGCCTCGCGTCTTAAGCTGAAAAAAGGCTTCAAAAGGCTCCGCATGCCGGCCCTGAAGGGCCGGGACCGGAGTCCAAAAGCGGAGCCTTATCGATCTCTGCCAAACTGACCATCCCGTTGTGATTGATGTCCACCAGTTTGAAGAGCTCGGCACGGGCCGCCTCCTCCTTCCGAATTTGACACAACTCTTCATCTGTTGAGGTGCAAAGAAGGCTGTAGCTAGAAAGCACAATGACAGGATCTCAATCGCTGGTGACCGGTTTCAGCAATGCGCCAAGTCCCGCTCCTCCTCGGTCTTCTGGAACTTGAGCTTTCCCTCAGGGAAAATTCGCAGAGAATTCGGACCGGCAAAGCGGCCAAGATCCTAACAGACGACCGCACTTTTAGAAGCCTGCATGGCATCCACCTCAGGTCGACCCAACGCAACCCATCTGGCTGCTCCCGTGGCTCCTTAGAAAGGCTCCGAGGAGCCAGAACCAACTTCTTCTACTATGACTGTGATTTCTATGCCCATGGCTATGGCCCATAGCGGCTTCTGTCAAGGCTCCGGTGTTCTCGGGGTTCGGTGTCGCTTTCCAAGCACCGGTGTCCTCGCACACCGCGCTGCCCTCACACAGATCTTCCACCACCCCCTGTCCTGACCTTGTGCACGGTGTTGCGGCAGTTAATGCGCTTCACCCAGAGAGCAATGTACTTTCCGTCCTCCCAGCTACTGCTCACAGAGTCAAAATGTCACAGGTCCATCGGACAAAAGTTCCTCGTTCTTCTCGGCACTGCGAACCTTCACCTTCGAAGGGTCACGTATGCCAAAGGACCTGGGTCTCCCACAAGTCGAGTCACCGATTCTGTCCCAAGGACTGCCGGGTTGCGAACGAGATCAAACACTTCCTCAGACTTGGCACTCTCACCTACGTCCATTCTTGCAAGATGAGAGCAAAACGAAGACGATACTTCTGCCAGGCCGAAGGAGAAGACTGCAGACAAGACTCATTCCGTTGTACTGCTCGCGCTTCCCCTTCAAGCCGCTGAGGTGAACCCAGCTGACACCAACGTGGAACTTGCCTCTTCCACTCAGACTCAGAATTCCGGAACTGCTGGTCACAACGAGTGACACCGTGTGGCAGTTTGCTGTTGCGGCCAAGGCACCTTGGTCGAGCTGGTGGTCAAGTTGGAGAGCCTGGAACCCAGCAGATGCTAGCTGCATCGCAGCTGTTGAAGTCTGTACCTACTTCGCCCCTCTTCTGCTTTACTCGGGCACTAAGCACTAACTACTCGCCTCCTCCTCTTCGTCCCGTGGCCGGCAGACGTCCATGCCTTCCATGCCTTCCTCCGCCGGCTCCTTCCATATGCGCTTGCGAGAGGAAGCTTGCGAAGCTCTGCTCTGCGCTCCACAGCCGCCGCTTCGCAAACGCGAGGTGGGCTCGGCTGCTCCCGCCTCTTCGTCCTCACCCTCACCGATGACCTCCTCGTCGCCGTCACCGGCCGCCATGACCTCCTGCGATAGTCGGAGGCACTTGCAGGTTCGTCATTCATCCTTCAAACACCAGCATGCCCGGCCCGGGTTGAGCAGCAATTCAACTGCCCCTGTAGCCACTCGAGGCTTCAACACAGTGCTGCCATCGGCCGACCTGTCCTCCATCTCCGCTGCACTAGGTTCTGCCATGGTCTGTTGCGGCTTCGAAGAGTCGGAACCACGCGGGAACAGGACACCCAACACCGAGAACGAAGCAGAATTAATCCATGCTGCGTAGTGCTGTATCTGCATGCTCCAAACATCTGCTCTTTTCCTCTCTCTGCAAATCTTGAGCCCGTGCGAAAAAGCGAGTGATCCAAAGCAACTCCCCAGTTGAGTTATGTACCCACGTCACTATACGTCCCTTGGCTTTCCGATCTGATGGGCGCGCTCCATGTGCGCGGAAGAACATTCGAAAACTCTGCCCTGCAAGGAGGACTGCTTCAGCAGTTCTCGGCATCTGACAATAGATGTGGCTTGCAGCATTGTCTAGCCGGCTTGGCATCTGGCAGGCAGGTTCGTCAAAGAGGTATTTTTCGCCTTCTATCCCAAGCACTTTGCTGCGCCGGAACATCCGTGCTATAAATGTATGCCACTGCAGAGACCGGGAAAATCGCAATTCATTATCGCACTGCCATCATGCAGCCAGGCTCCGGGGCTGGCGAATGAAGGTCGGCAGATGTCACTAAGTCGACACTACGCGCTGTCCGCCAGGTTGAGGACTGACTCTGCGTGTCCAAACTACTGGTCATGTATCTCTCATCCACAGATTGATGCTTGCAGCTGTAGATTAATGGACAGAGATGCTGGCAACAGCAGCTCTGCGTGGCCGGAAAAGCTCCGCTACGTGGTCTTGGACCAAGGATCTGCACTTCGGCCACTAAGTCTGCTTGATGACCTGAGCACTGTCACCAGGAAAACAACAGGTGGAGGACAAGTGTGACAGACAGTCAGGTTTAGGAACTCAAGCATACCGCAGGACGAAGGGATCTGTCCACTCAGGATGGAGGGTCCGGATGGAATCATAGTTTGGGCCTCTTCTTGCTGCCAAGTGTCTGCCAAAATTGCTTCCTTGGATGCAACGTAAGCTTCCCGAGAAGGCACACCAAGGCCCCCCAAAGGCCATAGGAGAGAAAAACATACCGAGAGAGCAAGACAGAGACAAATGGTACGAACGAGCAAAAACAGAAATGATCGGTGACGGTTACGGTTGCAGAAGACAATGAGCGGTTATGCTGTTTCGAACGAGCTTGCAATTTCGGACCTCTAACCGTCACTGAGAGCCCTGTGAGGCGACACTGCCGAAACCGATCGTCTCAAATATCTTTCGAAAGAATACATGTCCAGTATCCGTGAACTCTCCGAATTCCCACCCCACAGATTGGGCGATGCGAGCACCGGTGCGGAGGTTTGTAATGGGTTGTGGTGTGCGGTTTCTGCATCGAGGTATGGCCGTACTAGCGTGATATCCACGACTGGAAACGGAATTTGCCGCCAAGGCTCGGAAGGCACATTGACCTTGCCAATGGCCTGCATCTTTTTCTTGCCGGCTGCCTGCTTCTGCAGCAGCTTCTTTTTGCCTGAGATTGTGCGCACAAGGCTTCTGCCGGAGGATCTTGCTTCATGGGGCCACTGTGAGTCTAGCTCAGGTCGTGCTTCGGAGACGGTGGATCCGGGTGAAGAATGGAAAGGTGATGATAGCATCATAGTCATCCAGGGCGCGGGAGATGTCACCGCCATAGCACTTCGCCAAGACATCCTTCCTCACAGCTTTGATGTTCTCCGAGGCAATGATGTGGGTGCCTCAGTCTGTAAAACTCCCAAGTCGGCTGTCTCTGTGCATCGAAAGCTGTTTTTGCAGCTACGTGGCCGATACGTGCCTGGATGATGACCTTGATCTGCTGAGCGGGGATCTCCTCCTTCAAGATCTTGACAATCTTCCTTTCAAGCGGGGCCAGTCCCGGTCGAGAGCCCGAATAACCGGAACCTGTGCTGATGAGTTAATGACCCATGAGCAAGTTTTGGATACACCCTCAAAATGTCGCGCCAACGCAGAAGTCACCTACCGATCTACCGCTCCGATTGGACCACTTCTCCCACGCCTGGCAAACTCTTGGACTCGCGAGCGGTGCACGATCTGCGCCAATGGGTTGGCCGTGGTCTTGTTGATATCCACCTAATCGGACTAACCCAAGCGCCGTCAGACCCGACTGAACAAAGGAACGGGCCTTTCCGAAAGATTCCGCAGAGGGTAATGTGCGTCGCCCACAATGGCTACAGCGACAACAGCAACGGGAATTGCAGCAACTCTCCAAACACCCGTGCCTCAAGCTTCACCAGATCGTTAGGCCTTGCCGAAGGATAAAAAAAGCTCAGGGAAAAATGCGACACGATGGGCATCGTCATTATTCCTCCCTTGCAAAGACTAGGGCACCGAGATAAATTTGTTCTGATGTGGGGGTCATTGCAAGCTCACACATGCTCACACCTCAAGCTGGGAGACTGCTGCTATATCGGGGTTGGCATTGGTGCTACACAAGATGGTAGGCACAATTGCCAAGAAAGGTTGCCTGGTGCATTTTCTACATGCAACGAGTGGACGCACACAGAGAGACGAGGCCTGAAGTCCAGGATGCGGTAGTCCATGGAAGCATAGCCACGCGAGCGGCTTTTTAGCTCCTTGCACAACATCATACTCACGGCGCAAAAGCCTTCACACTTCAGATCACCCAAACGGATGATGTAGTTGGCACTGCAAGCATTGGCTGCGCCAGAAAGGTGGCCACAGCTCACCATGGTTACAACGGCTTCCAAGCACAGACGGTTACAGCCAGGTCGCAGCGAAGAAATCGCGGATCATCTCTGCCATGGGCATCCTGATCAGTCGAGGATGTTAAAATGTCATTTTCTGCCTGCGAACTGTCGTCGGCCCAGCGGCTCATACTCCAACAAGGCACGCCCTTGAGTGAGAAAGCTGGTCGTCCTGGGAGGCCCGGGACACAATCAGGTATACCGCAGGGAGTGCAGGGAGGTCCTGTAGATGCCACGACGCTGAACCGCGAGTTCCATGCAAGGTCCCATGTGCTCCTCCGGAACGATCAGCTCCAGCCTTGCACGGACTAAGCTAGCATTCAACTCCTGTCGCTTCAGCGGCGTCACAACACTGTCTTGTCGAGAAGCATGCAGTACGGCTCGCGGATCTCTGCAATGTTCGTGGGTGGTGGAAGCATGTTGGCGAACCTAAAGCTCGCAGCGGGCTCACCGCTCGCCCTCTCAGAGTCGGCAAACGACACAAAACTTCAGCCCAGGCGCTGAATGGTTGTCTCAGATCCGTCCTTCATCTGAAGTTGGTATTCCACCTGGGCTGAAACGGGAAGGCTGCTCCTGCCCGAGACTTCCTCTGATCTTGCCACGAACCACTTGGGCAGGTTTCTGGGTTGTCCCCTCATTCCAATCGCAGCGATCACATCAGAGTCGAGCACAGAAGCCTGCTAAAGTTCATGCCAGTCACAGATGGGGCAGTCACGATGAGATCGAGATCGTACTCTCTTTCGAGGCGTTCCTGCGCATGAGCATGGATTAGAAGCTCGGGCGAGTGCACCTCCACGGCTCCTTGACGACCTCCATGTGCAGAACGCCGAGGAAACCACAGCGAAAGCCAAGGCCTAATGCCACCTTAGCTGAAGTCCAAAGCAGACGAGATGGGACTCGGCACCTTCGCCAAGCCGCCGAGTTCTCAGGCTGGTAGAACAAGGCTGCGTCGTTCAAGCTCAGCTTGTCAAAGGCGCTCCTGGCAACACGCCAAAAGAGATGGGGCTATCGACATGGCTTCTGCAATATGGACAGACAGTGCCACGACACCCAAGAGGAACAACAGCTTAGGGCACCTAGAGCCTGGAGACAACTGCCTTGGGCCATCCCAGATGCGGATAAAGAAGCAAGCTGCATGCACCTCATGGCATCGAAGTCCCCCGAGACTGCGGGAAAGAGGCCTCAGTCAGGCCGTCTCCGGATTCTGTTGCATCTGCTCACAGGGCATGCTCGCTCGCACGGGCTTCGGGAGTGTGACTCCCTGATCTTGGCCACATCCCATGCCGGCAGCCGCCCAAGTCCACAAGATGCACAGCGATTACGGCGATTACCGGGCCCGATTCTCGTCCCAGGCACCGCAGAAGACCATCGGAGTGGCCTCTGCACACACCGGGTGACACGCTGTGCTTCAAACTCGAAACAATAGAAATCGTGTAAGAATGAGGGAATCAAGCCTAGACGGACAAGCCCAAAAATCACAGCAGTTCAGTCAATATGTAATATGTAATCTGCAGAAATCGGCGGCTGCTACGCCTGCACCGATCACAATTTCAACGAAGACGCCATTCCTGAACAGACCGAACATGCCCTGAAGCGGAAGTGTGGTCCCGCCGTCGCTGGCCTCCGTGTAGCCGGGCAAAGCCTCCACTTGGTCCTCAGTGCCTGCCTCGATGATGGTATCTCCCACACGAGCATCACCGACCTTGAAAAGGCAGAGTTGCAGTCTCCCAAGTCATCTTCGCCTACGACCCACATCCACGCAACCCAGCTGCTGTCTTGATGTTGGCACAGATGTAGCCGACCTCTCCCACGCTCAGTTTCTGGACAGGCTTTCGAGCGCCCCCAATCCTGAGCAGGGCGTGGTGACTTTGGCACGGCCCTTCCCGGACGGATTTGGGCGGAGCAAGGGCTTTGCCGGCTCTTACGTCCACAAACGGAAAACCCTAAAGCCTACACTGTCTTGAACTGTAGTCGTGCTGATAGCGGCTGGTACTTGAATCGTCCTGCTTTCTGGCGGTGCTTCTACTTCGCATCTCCAAACGGCTTGCACACCAAGGCGCATGATGCCGATCTCCTGCATCCGAGCAGGTGAAAAGAAGCCGTGGAGTCAGACGTCTGCGGATTTCTAATGGAGCTAGCTGCCCCGACCCATCCTCCACGAGGAACTCCTTTCCAGAGTTCTTGAACCGGATCTTCTGTCCTCCGCAGGAGCGTTCTGGCACAGTGCGGTGTGCCTGGCTGTGCCTGTTCCGGGTCTGCACCACACTCCGAGGAAGGGCGTCCTTTGGAGATGCTTCCATCCACTACACGGAACATTGCGATGACGCCCCGGTAGTTGTCGTAAAAGCTGTCGAAGACCAGGAGCCCTCGGAAGCCAATCAAATTCGCTGTTGCGACGGGGATCCCAGGCTAGGGCCAGGACGCATGCGAGTCTGCTCATCGGACTTTGCCGGTGCTGGTACGCAGTCGATGATGCCTCGCACCGCCGATCAGAATCGAAGCCCTAGCTGTTGCAGGTATTGGCTCCAAGCGGCTCTTGATGATGGCTGGAACACCCTCCCCTGTCTTGGCAGAGCACTGCAGAGCATTGCTGCAGTCGATACCTACCTGAGCTGCGCATCACATCGCTCTACTTTGAAACACTGGCGCGTATGCTCCTTGAGCCACCGACAACATCCTCGATCTCCTTGCAGACCCGTTCCTCGTGAAACTCTGGCTCGTCCGAGCAGCGTACGGTTCTAAGGAAGTGCTGCAACCTCGGGGCCGTCTGCTTGCAAACAAGATGCTGGATCGGCGCTTGGCAAGTCGCACTTGTTAAGGACAGGTACGATCTCCTCATTGCCAGAGATGACATTTAAACGAACAAACCTTGACTTCTGCATGCCATCAGAGACCGCGTCCGAGTGTCCAGATCGGCTTCCAGAGCCAAGGTCACATTGGCCAGGGTCTGCGCCTGCTTTGCAACTACCCTTCAAGCTTTTTGGGGTAGCAAGACACTTCTCTTCCGCCTGCACCCCCTGCGTGGCATCCACAACGAGTAGCGCCCCTTCACACGCCGCTAAGGACCGACTAACTTCGTACGTAAAGTCCACGTGGCCAGGCGTGTCCTTGACGGCTCGAGATGAGGGCATGACGCTGCTACTGCTACGGCAGAACCAAAACTGCTGCAATGCTGCGACGCATCCTAGAAACCGCGAAGCTCCGTCACCTCGAGAGCAACCGAAGCACACCGTGAACAGCCGGGATACGATCAGATTCAAGACATAGTCCTGGCAGTCAAAAGCTAGGAGACTGTCAATACTGCACCGAGTGACTCCCTAAAAGCAAAGAACCCTCTTCTCCTCGCCACCCTCGTTTACGTCCATCCGAGCAGTGTTCAGCTTGATGGTGATGCCTCGCTCCCGCTCGATGTCCATGTTGTCCAGCCTTTGACCACTCGTGTCATAGACAAGGCGACACCCAGCTGGCCGACTCCCTTGTGTGCAGTATTGCATTACAAACCCTTGCGACTTCGGGGCACACTCGCCTGCGTTTGGTGTAGATGCTTACTTGGAGCAGGGCTCTCCAAAGCGTTCACGCGCTTCGAAGCTCTGCGTGCAAAGATGCATGGCCAATGTACGGCAGTGCTTTCATACCAGACCGATCATAATCTAAAAACGACATGATGAAAACCGAGGCGTTAGCCTGCGAGACGACATCAAATATACGTGGTGGTGGGTCGGGAGGGGACCACACGCAAGGCCGTAGTGCCGTAGTACCTGCTCCTGCGATGCACGTGGATATGACCAGGCGTGCGCTTTTTTTTTGGAGATGTCCGGGGTGGAACCGCAGCTGTCGAGCCCTGAAGCGAATCGGGACTTACAAACCTTATAGACGGACCTGCGGTGGACACAGACGGTGTCGCTTGGTCTTAGACTGTCTTAGAGCGAACTGATTGAAGGACCATTTTTGTCTTCTCAACCGAAAGCCTGCACACGGATTCTTGCACATAGCTGTTTGTTCCTGTACTGCTCGACAAGCAATAACATGCCGCTTTCAGATCCAGGGCACAGCTGTTGCTTCATGTCTTCTTTGGTAACCGTGTTGGTGATCTCCAGCAGACGGTCCGCAAGGGTCGACTTGCCTCAGACATTCAGAGTGCAACAGCGCACGTGACTGGGTTTGGGCGCCGTTGCTGACAGAGGGCCATGGTCGATGTGCGCGATGATGGAGAAGTTACGGATCCGGTTTTCCGGTGAACTGCCTGGCTCAAGAGCTCGTCTGGCCGTGCGGCACCGCCAAGACCGGGACGGGGCCCTGTCCACAGGCGAGGCGGCTTTGGATGCAAGCGCTCGAGGCTCTCACTGCGATGCCTCGACGACCTCTCTGACCGTCGGCGCCCCTCCAGAGCCAGGCCGACCAGAACTGGCGCCAGCCATGGCCGGCAAGGCCCGGCGGCCATGCCTGAAAACACCCCCTCCCGGGCGCCCCCCCCCCCAGTCACCTTACTTCAGCCTGTCTCCCCGAAACTCTCCTTCGAAATATACCAAAAAGACCACACATGTTCCAGAACTCACTGGGCCTTCACGCGCATGTCTCGGCTTTGCCCAAACCTGCAGGATTTGCGGCGTCTGGAGCGGAGCATGCGCCGCAGCTGTGCGCAATGCCTGGGCAAAGAACTTGAATTCAGCGCTTAAATCTGCGACCCGCGGGTGTGAGACAGTCCTTCAACACATTCCCACCACGGTTCACTGGTAATCAACAAGCCTTTCCCGGTTCGTGCTACGCACGTCTTTAAGTGGCCAAGTGGAGCCACTTCGACGAAAATCTGGGCGAGGGGGCGGTGTAAGCGGGTGTGGGTGTGGATGGGTGGTGTGGGGGGTGCGGTGGGGTGCGGTGGGGTGCGGTGGGGTGCGGTGGGGTGCGGTGGGGTGCAGTGGGGTGCGGTGGGGTGCGGTGGGGTGTGGGTGTCGTCTGCTGGTGTCGTGTGCTGGTGTCGTCTGCTGGTGTCGTGTGCTGGTGCTGCTGCTGGTGTCGTGTGCGACTGCTGGTCTGCCGGCCAGGGGTTTAGGGTTTGAAATTTTAAGGACCCTATAGAGTGAAGGACCCTGTTACTGTTGAGCCCTAAACCCTTTTGAGCTCTAAACCCTTTTGAGCGAAGGACCCTTTTGAGCCCTAAACCCTTTTGAGCGAAGGACCCTTTTGAGCCCTAAACCCTTTTGGGCCCTAAACCCTTTTGAGCCCTAAACCCTTTTGAGCGAAGGACCCTTTTGAGCCCTAAACCCTTTTGAGCCCTAAACCCTTTTGAGCGAAGGACCCTTTTGAGCCCTATAAACCCTTTGCCCCCTAGGCCTGCAGCTGAACGATCGATAGAAAGAATGTTGTCGGGGATAGTTGGTTTCTTGTCGCGGGTAGTGGGGAAACTGTCGTGGCTAAGGCACGTTCTCGGGGTGTGGGGGGGGCGGGGTGGGCAGGGGGGATGTCGATGGGGGTGGGTGGTGGGGGTGGGGGAGTTCGCCGTGTCAGTGTGACAGTGCAAGCACCGTTCGCCCTAGTAGCAGTTGAAGGCCAAGGCACAAGCGAGCGAGAGGACGCGACGTTTGCGATCTGTGAGGTAAACGCAACATGCCCATGTGCCCTTGACCCGACTTAAGACGAACATAGACGAGCTTAGCTGCTGTGGAGGGCGCGCTTCGCATCTCCATGCTGCGAGCTGGGCCCTCGGAAACAGATTGCCCTCACTTCGACTGCGCCCTGAAGAGGGTGACTGGTTTTGCGGAGTTGAGCTTGGTGCATGGAAGCAGGTCGAGTAGTGGTTGGTCTTGCTTGGTCTTGGCTCACATGAGCTCCGAATGACTCGTCTGCAAAATGCCTGTCGGATATACGAAGACACATGCCAACGAGAATCAGCATTGAGTATAATGACTTGCTACAGGGTGCGCGTAGCAGGCTGGCAGGCTAAAGGGGCTTGCAGGTCAAGCACATCCGGCCCTTTTCTGGGAGCTTGGACCACGTCCAATCCTGGCACGAGCCAGTGTGCACTCCACCATCCTGGCAAACACGGGTGCTAATCTCTGCCGAAACCTCTTGCAGCCTCTTGAAGCCTGACTGCCCCCGCTGTGTTGCGACAGTGGCGACAGTACTGTTTTGGAGACATCACTGCTTGAAGAAACTGAGCCCCTCGACCTGCCTGACGTTAGTAGATTTCACACACATACGCAAGTTGAAAATGAGAAATCGAGGGTACCTTGACCTCGGGTTGCCGCTTTCTGATTGCTCTTCTAAACCTTCTTAGGTCACTTCATTGGCTCCAAAGACCGTGGGATCGATTTCGATTAAGAAAGATTCGGATTTGGTGTCAAAAGCCCTTCAACATGAGGAAAGCATGCACAACCGGCACAACCCTAACGTGTGCATGACAATCATGCCCTGGCACAGAAAGTACACGGTGCTACGACTGGTGCCGGCATTGCTGCCAGGAAGCAAAAAGCACTGCCTCCCAAAGCCAGCCTCGGAGTCCGGCTGGATCGAGGGACCATGTCTGGTGCATCAAACAGGCACAAAGTTACTCAAGTCAAGCTCAGACGATTTCGGGGCGGAACCTACCAGCACATCCTGCGCCCATCACTGCATCTCTGGTTCGGGTCGCTCCTCTCGTCCCTACCGTTTCATGGTCCCCAGTGGATGCCGTGGCGTGTCTTGTGGATGTGGTCTTGCTGCTGGCTGGGGAAGGTGTCTCGGCATGCGAATAGCTCGTCTCGGACCACTGCATGTCTGGGGATGCTGACATGCAACGCTAACGGTTTACCAGGATTTGATTGGAGGCACAAGCCAGAGAACAGCGATGCATGATCGCTGGCTGCATCGTTTCACTGTTTCTTGGATCCTGCTCCGAGCTCTAATGACTCTAAGGCGTACCTTGATGCTCTGATTTCCGGAGGTGTTCTCGAACCCTGTTCTCGACGGATTTGTTCGGCTTTCGAGGCCTTGGAAACTTAGTGTTCATCATTCTCGGTTTGTCCGGAACAGAGCCAAGAAATTCGGCTCAAAGAGTCTGGAAGTGGCGCGGCTTTGAAGTTCGGGCATGTCCGAGCAAATCCTCATGGTCGGCCAGCCACGGCGCTGGGAACGAATGTCACCCGATACGGTCGCAGTTGTCGTGATCATACTTTCTTCGGAAGTGGCTACCTCTCTATCATGCGTAGTGGGGACTTACCGGTTTCTCATATTTTGACACCGGAAATTCAGAGTTTTCCGGTTTCTGAAACATGCGCTGCCTACTACAAAACTCCTGGACTTTTTGCGGGAGCTCGTGGAGAAGATACACTCACCGACTCACTGAATCGCAGTGACAGCCAGAATTCATAGGGCCACGCTACTCTGGTCTGGGCATATTGAACTCGCCACCAGGTAAGACTGCAACACAGCACGGCCAGCCAACGTCCCGGAGAGAACTGCTGCGCAGCCCGGCAAAGAATTTAAGGTGAGGTGCTCAATTCAGCCACCTGTTCTCGACCAGCTTGCGTGCCTGCACGGATGCAAACTCATCTAGGCGTGTAGGGTGGAGTTGAAGGACTCGAGAACCGGCCTGGCTGACCACGAGTCCTACCAGGAAGACGGCGAAGGTCAGGCAGATGGCCGTAGCATTCAGGATCTGCCGAAGTTTCATCGAAGGCTTGCAAAAAGGGCCCCTGGCAGAAAGCTCGCGCCTTGCGGTTGTAGGCCTCAGTGGAGTCCTCAGCGAGACTCTCAGCGAAACACAGCTGCTGAGATAAGGCTTTTTTTTTGTCAGCCTCTGGGCCACCGCGCTGGGTCGATGTTCTGCCCGGCCTCCGATCCCTCGCCCCAGGTGGCCAGGGCAGGCGTCGCTCCAGCGAGCGTCAACCCAGTCGAGATGGCGGCTGCCTTCAAGAAACGGCTTGCACCCACACCGCCCCGACCGCGTGAGCCGGAGAAACCGGATCAAAGACGCAAGCCCTGCAACTCAACCCGTCTCCCTGTGCCTCAGCCGCGCGCAGCTGTGGCTGGAATCGTGGCGCGGCGGCAGGGGACTGGGGAGGCAGCACAGGCAACAGCGCAACCAGCGCTACGCCACGCTGTAAGAAAGCTCATTCAATGCGAGGTGCACGAAAAGCTCGAAAGTTTCCATAGATTGGCCTGAGCCGACCTACGTCACTTCTGAGCGTCTGTGCCGGGAGGAAGGCTGCGCTGAATCGCTGAACGACAACGCAAAGCGCCACACAGAGCACCTCGAATCGTGAGCACCGCAAGACTTTGGACCTAGATGTTCTCTCTGAGGAGTTTGCACAGAGGTTGTGTCTGCGTGTTGATTGATCGTGTCTATCATGTCTGAGATGCTGCAATGCTACAGCAGTTTGCTCACTTCTTTGTTTGCTGCATCTTCCGGAATTTTTTGCTCTTTCAGACTGTGGCCTCGCCGAGTCTCAGTTCTTTCGCAAGCATGGAATGTAAAAACGGTAACTGCTCTGCACAGTTCTGCAGAGTCCTGTGCTTGAATTCTGCTTTGGGGTGCTGCCTATGGCTGCAGGTCTTCGGTCCCCGGCGACGGGGGCCAGGATGGAACGGCGAGCGGCGGCCTCGATAAGAGGTCTCTCTTGGCTGTTTTGCTGGACACGGCCTTTAAAGAAGTTGCGAAGGCCGCTATGCCAATAATAATATGTAGATCGATGCAGTCGCATGCCCCTTGCCCTTGCTTTTCGCTCGCGATGCTGGCAGCTGCCTAACTTCGATGCATCACTGCCTGCCCCTGCCGTTGTGCATCAAAAGACTGTAGAGTCGGAGTGAGAGTGAAATTGCGCAACCAGAGCTGGCAACGACAGGCGCATCCGCCAAATTGGGTCGTGCAAGGTCCTAGGTTCGCGAGGCTGGAGTCCGGAGGCCCAGGCCCTAGACTCAACTTTTCACCAGGCAGCGATCTGCCGAACACCTGGGAGGTCAGGATGAACAGGTGGGCCGCGACATCACCTGAACCTTCCAGCCAAGGCACTGCTCCTTGAGCAGGCAGCCACTTAGAGCATACCGCTTGGAGGTCATGGAACAGCGAGTGACGACAGCCATCCCTCCATACCTGACAGGGCTGTTGAGGACGTGTCTGTAGCCTTCAGATGCCTGTTGCTGTTCATGAATGTTCAATCGGGCTGAGAAGGACAGCTCACGTGCCGCAAGGTCAGGATGCCACACATTTATTGGCAAACGGGTTGCCCCATTGCATCATCGCAGCTTGCTGACACATCGAAGCTGTTTCGTGCTGCGCTGCCGCCCTGGATGATGTAGCCTGGGGCTCTTGTCGACTGCATGGAATTGAAAACCAGCCTGTTGCATGAAAAGCAAAGAAAGACGCGTCATGAAGGCGTTGCCTGTGGTGTCGGTTGGTGGAAGGCATATTTGGCGAATTATTGTGGCTTCCTCTCCTGGTCTCGGAAGCTGCAACTGCACACGACCTCGCTTAATGCCAATCAGCGCTCCTTCATCCTTTGCGGATTCGATGGTGTTGTAGTGCTTGCGCATGAACTGAGGGGTGAGGCTCTCCTCGTAAATCTCGAAGTGATCGATGAAGCCGTCCTGGCAAAGATGTCGAATTGGACCATTCGCGCAGGCGTGTACTTTCAACGGAGATGGACCGCTGCAGCCAAGATTCAAACTGCTGGTCAGTTTCTGCTGCCTGGCATGCATGTTACACAACTTACAATTCAATGCTGGCCCAATGCCTACTGTTGCTTCGGACGCCGGTTCCGGGCCGGCTGAAGCGGTTAATGCTCTGATCTACCGTCGGGCGGCAAATGCTGGGCTGGCCATGGCTGGTTGGCACCAGCGGACCCTGCCTTTCCGATGATCAGGTACTGGTTCTCATTGTAGACGATGTCTTCCAACTCCGACCAAGGAGCAGAGCTGTCCTGATGCGATGGGCGAAAGACAACATGTGCGAAGAAGTGCAGTGAACAGACTGAAGAGCAGAACAGTCCTCCACTTCCTCGGGAAGGCCATTCAAGTAGAGCTGCGGGAAAGCACCTCCCACTCGCATCACCACCGCCTCGAAGCGCTCGACGCACTCTGACGTGCAAAAGCAGAAAGCGTCATCACCCACACACTTCAATTCTCAGACTAAGCTCCATGCGACATGAGTCCTTGGATCAACGCGGCATTCACAGATTCCGATGCAAAGCCACCGGGCCGAGGATCCACCGGTCAGCCCAACGAGCTTTTGCCTTGAACTCCGTGCTGACGGCACCGAGACCGGCGGGCTGCCGAGTCCAGATCATCAGCCGCGCCTCCCCGAGTCGAACGTCGCTGATCGGATGTCGACGACATTTTTTCCCGCCTTGTCACCCTTGCACTGAAACTCCACTGCCCAACTTCCGTCCTGAGTCACGGTTTTTTAGTCGGCTCTCCTCTTTCGACTTGCTTCTCTGCGGGCCTCGGGATTGTGCATGGTGTAGCCGCTGCTGCGAAAGATGAAGTACCAGGTCTGATCCCTGTGCAAGTCATAGCAAGTCTGCGTCTACCGACGGAAACGTAACTTGATACCTGGCGAATGTTTCCGGATTTAAAGTCAGTCTAGGTTGCAGTCAACAATTATGAATCGTTTGCATCTGTCGGGAACCTTTGCATCTGTCGGAAACCGGGCATGGACTCGGGACTAAATTGGGGAGAAACGGTGCCAGCAGAAGGGCTACAATCGGACCCGGGGATAAAGGATCACCCAAACGATAAGCCCTGAATGAGTGAGTGGAGTGCATGAGTGGAGTGAGTGACTGGTGTGAGTGAATGGAGTGAGTGAGCGAGTGAAGGAGCGTGTGTGAGTGTGAGTGAGTGTGAGTGAGAGTGCACGTGAGCGAGTGAGTGAGAGTGTGAGTGAGTGGAGTGAGTGAGCGAGTGCTTGAGTGAGCGAGCGCGTGCGGGAGGGAGAGAGTGTGAGAGAGTGATGTACATGTCCATGCTCCATCTGGGACGCCTCACGAAGGTTGGCCGGATCCAACACATGTAGGTCGAGGTGGCTGTGAACCACCGGCCGTAGTTTCGGATCTCGATGCCGGTGTTCACCTGGATAAAAGCCCAGACTAGGTTCACCAATGGGGCCGGGTGGGTGTCGCCACCCAAAAGAGAACAGACATCTGTGTCTTGATACAAACATGGAAATTGTGGGAACTCCGTGGCTACAAGTTGCAGATAGTCCCAGGTCCAAGCCCACACCTGCTTTGCCGGCAAGTTGCACCAGTGAGGTCGGCGGCTGTTCCCCCTGCCCGGGACAGCGTCGTCGAGGGCTTAAAACCGCTGACCTTCAGGTCTGTGGATGGAAATCCGCATGCAAGAAGAGTCCGCGGCTTTTTTTGGAGCAAATGCAAAGCAGCGCCTTGATCGTCTTCGAAGGCCGTAAGTCTTCACTTGCATTGGAGCCTGTCGAGCAGACAGGCACAACACAACAAGGTTCCAGCTTGATATCCAATGACTCGCGTCTACGGGCAACTACAGCATGCCTCCGGTTTCGTTCCTCAGCTGAGCAACACAGAAAGACTTGAAGGACAGGCAGGCAGCAGGTGCCTGAATATGCTAGACTGCCACAAGGCCACATTACAAGGGGCACGGCACAACTGTGAACAGGTCCGGCCAAGACTCTCGAACGTGAGACGGAGCGTCGGAACTCCAGCTCGTCGAGGCCGTGGAATTCGGCAAGCCACATCCTGCAAAAGCGATTCCAAGAAAGGCTTCCGGCTTCGTGCCATCCTAGGGAGAAGCCTAAAAATCAGCAGAGATGCTGTCGTGTTGGCGCACAGGTGCCGCATGACCCTGATGGAGCCAGCACAGCACTTGGATCCTCGGCTGCCACACTAGGAAGACGCATCTGCGACACTGTGAAAGCCAGCAGTGCGGTTCGCCTATCCGGTCTTGAGTCTTGCAGCGAAATCCACAGGTTTAGGCCCAGGATCGACCCCCGGGGCGGTAAGAACATTTGTCGCCTCCACAGGTGCCGCACTCTGGGCTGCAGCAGACGTCGTGCAACGGAAGGCCGCGCTGGCAGAAGACGGTCTGCAAAGCAGGGCAGCTGCTTCGCTTCAGCAGGCTGCTTCTGTTGAGAATTAAGGAATTAAGCCATAGAGATCCTTAGATCTGTGTGGGTGTCAGAGAGATCTGGGCCTGGCCCTCCCGGACGAAGCAATCACGCTCGTCTTCCAAGGACCTGCATGGCAAGCTGAATCAAGAGGCTGTGCACACCAGGTCTGGGCCCTGGGGCCTTGTGGGTATCCAGATGTTGCTGTGGAAGATGCAGCTGCCAGCATAGGCCCCCGAGTGGACGACCTTCCCAAGCAGGCTGCCCTGCTTGCTGCTCTCCGCAGCTATGCTCGCTGCTGCTCGGAGGGCCCGCGCCTCCACCGCGGCGCAGTCCAAGCGCGCGGCGCACTGAGCCCGGCAGCGCTGCTCGGAGCCGCCAAGGCCTCGCATGTCCTCGAGCTCGTAGCCTCGGGTTTCGAAGAGGAATGAGAGCTGAAACAGCGAAGAGAGGCGGCGCAGGGTTTTGACTCCAGGACACCTCCACAGGCCTTGCCCGGGTACTTGGTAAAGTCTGTGAAGAAGTACCTTCAGGCTTCGCTCTCTTCTGCCAGCACTGAACGGTGGAAAGCCTGAGCAGCCTCCAGTACTGAGCTCAAGGCCTGAACCCGTGGAACTCGATGCGAAAGAACCCCACACCTATTGTTCTGGCGGAATATGCATGACGCTGCACTTCGACACAATGCGACGACACGACAGCGAGTCCCCCAAAAGAGGATGGTGATAGAAAGCTGCCTCTGCTGCCATAGTTCTCAAGGATCTCCATCTTTAGAAACCTCTCGCTGATTGGAACGTCCAAGACGTGCTCAGAGACGGAATGCTTCTCTGCCTGCAAAATCATCCAGACACATATATATCCGTGCCCAACGCCGAAGGCCAACCTTTCTAGAATTGCAGATGCTAGACATCCAAGAAAAATCGTAAAGATGCACAAGCCAAGGCGCTGAAGGCGACCGCTCCGTCGCTGTGTTCGGCAGGTCAATGGCTTGAGCCGGAACCCAGTCTCCCACACTGCTGCTGCCACTGAAGATGACCTTGCGGACTGCATCCTGAGTGACGTAGTTGTGGAATCCTGAGCTTCAGCAGCGGCTCAGATCCGGCAGCCCCGCCCCTCCACCTGGTTTACCTTCGACACCCAAATCAAATCTAAACCCGAAACCCTAAACCCGAAAAGCCCAAACTCAAAACCCCAACTGCCGAATCCTCAACGGAGCAAGTCCCAATACGCTAAACCCGAAAAAAGCCAGACCCCAAACACCTAAACCCAAACCCCAAAAAAAGCCTGAGTGCCGAGCCGAACCGCCAACCCTTGAACCCTGAAAAGCCCAAGCTTCAGCCCTCCCTGAACCCTAAACGCCTAAACCCTAAAAACCTACACGCTGATTGACAAGCCCAACTTTAGGATTTCGTGCGGCAGTTGCATCTGTTACACATGCATTGCTGTCAAGTTGTTCTTGCAACCAGGCTTCGTATTTTCGTAACAGTGAACTTCTCCTCCAGGTCGAAAACTAGCCACGCATTGCTGCACAGGCTGGTGTGGGACTCCGAGCTGTTGGAAACCGAAGCACCTGTACAAGCCTCGCGCGGCTGATCATGCAACTCGCATGAATGTCTCGTACTGGGCAGCTGGTGGGTGGTGGACAGAACCCATATTAACATCATGGAGCAACACAACGTATGCTGGCCTGACTCAGAAAGAAGCTGTCCGACGGCCGAACGTTCGGAGGCAGTGTTGTGACGAAGGGACTGTGCCTGGTTCTCATGCTGTGGAAGCAGTCTGCTGGACACCCAACTCTGCTTGCGTTCCCGGGTGCTCGTGAGTGTTGGGGCACAGCAAAGGCGGCTTGTCCCCACCTAAGCAACTGCCCTTGACAGGACGCAGTTTATGGTATCAAATGATGCTCAAATCAGCAAGGACGAATGTCACATTGGAACATAGGTCAAGCAGTCAAGCACGGAATACACCATGAGCTTGACCAGCCGCTGTCGACAACCCAAACACAAAGGTTGCAATGAAATCCTGCATCAGAAAGCTGTAAAGCAACTGCTGCGGCATTGAAACATTACTGGTACACAGAGAGTTTGGCCAGATAAGTGCCGAAAATAACCCACGCCACCAGCAGCAGCAACTGCAGTGACCCACCAACTGCTTCAACCACAACCAGCCGACAAAATGTTGTGCTCCAGCCAACGCTCTAAGGCCCGGACCGGAACGCTGTTTTGCTGACAGGCACAGCACATTCGAAGGTTCGAAGAAACAAGAACATCTAGTTTGCCAGGTGAGCTATTTTTTTTTAAGAACCACCCCGGATTTGCCTGGAAAGCCCTTTTGGAGCCCCGCAGTCGATTCACATGGACGTGGTAATTTAGGCAGATTGCAGGAGTTCCGGCATGTGTTGCGAAAAGGCTTGTTTTGGCGAAATTTGTGCTCTGTGAAACCGTGCGCATTTTTGGCAGGTTCACACAATCGAACAAGGCTCTTTATCGTACAGCTGTTCATAAGGATCAGCATCACCAAGCCTATCCGGGCCTATCCAAATGACAAGCCTGATAAGCCTTAAAGGTGCGAGAGGTTTGGTAACAGGCTGTTGAGTCTGCAGATCGGATCTGGGTGGACATTATCATGGTTGGGACATGGATGTTCTCATGTTTGGGACATGGATGCTCTGTCGGAACGGATGGGGTCTGTGCGGCGCAACGGCTGGTTCGAAGGCTAAACAGAGCAAGTCTGCAGACTGTGAAAATACAACCGCACGTTTCATTCAATGCCACCACACGCTCAAGTGACCTTAGGGCCACCAGGGCCCGAAACCAGACTGAGGCAGATACCTCCGGACGGGCGTGCGTACATATTTGCGAGGTCAGCACTCTATAAAATGTTGCCACATCGTTCCAAAGAATCCCATCATGATCCCGTACTAAGGCAGTGGCAACCAAGGCCGAAGAGCGCAGAGCAGTCTGAACTGTCCTCCAAACACGGCATTGGCTCCCGGAACCTTGCTCCTGCCTGCACACCGACGCTCGACTTGCGCATCATACTTTCCCAGGACAGTTTCAGCCACTGCCCGTCCTCCGGGCATCCCGCATGTGCCTTCCAGAGTCGTCCCCAGCAGACCGGGACGTGCGAGAAATAAGGGGAACGGGTAGGACACAGCATCGCGAAGTTTCTCGGCATGCGAGCTGAAAAACCGCATCGCAGGGAACGGCCGTTCCAGGAACCGTTAGGCCGTTAGGGCATCTTCGCATCTTCTCCGGCGCTTTTAATCGTGCCCCCGGATCCCTGCACCTCCGGCCTTGATCTTCTCGGAGCTGGTCTTTGGAACCAGCAACTTGGTGTAGCCTCGGACGGCAGCCGGAGCCTCCAGGTTCCATTCTCCGATGAGGGACTGGTTCTCCTCGAACCTCTTCCGCTGAAGTGCTGAGACCGAACATCGCAGGTATGCACTGACTTTGCACCTGCCTCGTCGTCGTGTCATACACTGGATTGCTGGTGTCTTTCGTGTAGCAGGTGCCTCGGGTATGGCTTGTTTGGGTATCTGAGCAATCTAGAAGCACGGAGAAAGAGCCTGAAGCCATGTTGCAATAGGCATCGCTGCCCTTCTGTCTGGCGATGGCATGCATAAAGCCGTCCTGATTCAGATGCTGCAACGAGCAGTGCGCAGTACCATCATTTATCCAGGCCATGCTGCCAGCATTGAGATCAGAAGCTATGGAATCTGCGTTCCCCCATCACACGAAGGGGTCGGGGACGTTGCAGATTCAAAGCTAGTTGGGGCTCAACGGTGCATCAGTAGGCGGTACCCTGCCTGGAGGCAGAACTTCTTGCAACCTCCGAAAGGAATGCAGCTTGAACCCCCAGGAATACTCGACATGACGGTAGGGTAAAAGCGTGCTGGCTTTGATGTAAAGCTCACTGCTCTGAACGATTCCTGGTCATCTTCTCGTTCAGGAATCCAGCCGACTTAGGGCACTGTACCTTGATGATACCTATCCGATTGGACGGAACTGAATATGCACCTACGGAAAACACATGTCTTGTGCCTCCCACCGCTGCCGTCACAGCCGCTGTAGCCACCGTGCGGCGCAGACGTGCTGAGCCACTGGGAGACGACGGCAAACGGCCCGGGGTCTGGCAAAAGCATACAACACAGCGAGAAAATCGACAGTCTGAGTCTCGCATTGCATAAAATACTTCTTGCAGAGCCACTGCCGAAAAACCACAGCCCTGGGCTTTCCGGCGTGTCTGCACCACTGCTCCGAAGTCCGACCACTGCTGTTGCTTGGAACAAAGCAGAATGAAACTCCAGCCAGAGCAGAAAGCATCGATCCCCATCGCGCCTCCTTCCGCCATGACACGTTGGCAAAGCCTCAAGGCTGGAAACGCTGGGAGCTTTGGACGAACATCCCCTCTACCCACAAGACATGTCCACTCTAACTTCTGGGCTATCTGTAGATGGAGCAGCAATGGCAGAATTGTGTCGTCGTTGTCGTAGTTGTCCTTGTCAGAGATGTCGTAGTGCTCGTCATTGTTGACGTGGAAGTAGTTGTTGCTGTGGTTGAAGTGGATTTGGAAGTGGTGACAATTTCGGGAGCAGCAGTAGTGGTCGAAGTCGCCGAGGTTCTCGACCTTACGGCACTGCAGGCAAGGTGCTGGTTCGACCTGCCTGTCTGAACATCCCCCCAAACCACAGGCCTCCGCCCGAAAGTTTCGTGACACCCTTTTTTGGCCGCCCCGACTCCCCCCCTCGCCCCCCCTCCTTCACCCGACCCTGCTCATCCGGCAACCCAGCGAAACAGACTGGGTTGTGTCACAGTGTTACTCCGTTAACACGAGTCAGGTGCTGGTTCTGCTTCTAAGCAGGTAAGCTTCTTGGCTCGCATGGCCAAACAGTTAAACACACACTTCAGCTCGACACCCGAAAGGGTCCAATTTCGAGACTTAGTCCCTGAGCTGAAGACTCAGAGACACATCTTGCCTCCACAGTCAGGCCGAGGCGGGCAGCGTAGCGATGGAATTGCACAAACTACACAGCCACAATTGTTTTTACGAGGCCCCGGCTTGGCTGTCTCAC